ATTCTGCCCTAGTGAACAGGGGCCGCCCTGCCCACCACCCTTGGGACAGACAGCCCCCGAGGGGACCCATTACCCTACACTCTGCCAAGCTGCCGGAAGAGAGAACTCCAGCGCCCAAGCCCAGGGTCCAGTGCCGCTTGTCAGCTGGGTGGATTTCCTGCCCCTTGGGTCTGCTCCTGTGGTTCTGCAGAGACAAGCAAACAATGCGGAGGTCCTGTAAGCAGCACAGGCTGTCGTGTCGCTAAGCTCACATAAACCCGTGACAGTAAAACACTGGAAAGGACCAAAGGAGTTAGTCATTGGATGGAACCTCATGTTGTTGTTAGGTGTTGGGTGTGTCCAGCACTCACAGCAGCCCGCATGTGCAAGAGAACAAAGTGCTCAGGCTGGCGCCATCCTCACAATCATCATTATGTCTGAGGTCATTGTTGCAGCCACTGTGTCAGTTATTGAGAGTCTTCATCTTTTTTTTTTTTGCTGAACCCTCTACTTCATCAAGCATGACCCATGTCCTTCTCCAGGGACTGTCCCTCCTGGTCACATGTCCAAAGTGAGTGCTTCTAGGAAGCATTCTGGCTGTACTTCTGGTAGTACATGGTACTTTCAGTCTTCCTTGCCAACACCATCATGCGAAGGTTTCCATTCTTTTCAGGACTTCTTTATTGTCTACCTGTCACATGGCTTGGGTCATGCCCCCATACAGTAGTGAAAAGGAGGGTGCTAGATCTCTACCGGCTGGAGGAGATCCCGAAAACAAGGCTGAGTGAGAAAGTTGCAGCATAGCGTAAGATGCACACTGTTTCTTAAGCCCACACAGTATTTATTGTTCAGGGATATCCAGTATGGAAACGTGTTTTAAAACTCCAAGGGTACATTGAAGGCAGACCTGCCGACCACAGGGAAGGAAACAGAGGCAGTGAGCTTAAGGAATGTTGTACAGTTTGGGTGCCACAGAAGAAAGGCCTGGTGATCGGCTTTGACAAAGGTGACAGCCAAGAGAGCCCTATGGATGGGGTCAGACTCGACAGCAAGAGGTTTGGTTTTTGGGTCGGGTGTACAGTAAGAAGAGTTAGCAGTGCCCACACAAATCCAAGGTTCATTTATTCCTAGGATTCCCATGATCTGGGCCCTCAATGACCTTCCCTTTCTAATCTAAAGCAAGGACTGGAACAGGTATCTGATGGTCAGCAACTATCTTCCTGTTTCTTGACTTGACTCTGCCCCACGGGGCTGCCAGGACTTCACAGAGGCAGACTGGCACATCTTTTTCCCAACAGTGGCAGGTGGGTTCTGTTTACAGCTGAGCACTTAACTGCTGCACCTCCTGGAACATAGGGTAGGTACCCCAACCCAAAGGTTTCATTCATATACTCTCAGCACCGTTTCTGGAGTCGGACCTAGTTTGAATCCCAGCTTCACAATTTACCGATTCAGTGGCCCTAGGTGAATTGACTTATTCTCTCGGTGTGAGGTTCAAAGGCGGTTGAAAAGTTAGCCTCCCTGCCTTTTTGCTTACTTAACCCACTTAGCTTTGTTAACGTGAAAGCTTAGTGCAGGGCCTGCCACATGGGCGTTCAATCGATGCTGTTATGAAGACACCCAGCACAGAGCTAGCACCCCCAGCAGCTGCGCGTCTTCCTTATTAAAGAGAATCAGAATCGAGGCGGAATGTCATGTTGTCTTCACTGAGGCAGGAACCATCCCACTCAGGGAAACCATGTTCTTCTTAGATATCAAATTAAGTATTCGAGGTGCCCTTTGTGTTTCCTCCTCCATAAATACCAGAAAGAGAAAAAATTCCTATTCTAAGCAAACAGACCCTGTTGTCTTGACAACACAGATTGCCAAGAAAATAAGCAAACAAAACATCTGAGTCTTATTTTTAAAGAATACTTGAAGAGTGAAGGGAGGGGCCGAGAAGGCGTTCAGACTCTCCCTGAGTAGGCTACCACTGCCAGCTCCTGCTCGGTGCTGTGCTCCACTCACTGGAATGTTCTGTCTCCTGAACCCTGAACAGAGACCAAAGCAGCAAGACCCATCACCCCGATGTACTTGCTTTAGTGACCCCCATTTCTCCCACTCAACAGGACCGCAGAAAGCCAACAAGGGCAAGAGAGAACAGAAGAACCCTGAAAGGTGTCCCTTCAACTGGTCCCAAACATAAATAACATCATAAAAGGAAAAGCTTGACGTGAGGAAGCACGCCGCCTTTGACACAGTTTTCTGGAGGGAACAAATTCAGTCTGCCGCAAAAATCATCAGGGCGTTCATTTGCAGCACTGAAAAATGTTAGCGGGAAACGGAAAGCCCCCTGGACAGGCAGACCCATCGAGTTGTACATAGGCAAGCACAGAGGCAGGCTTGGGGGAGAAAGAGCCTAGCTCTGGGGCCTCTCAGACCTGGCAAAGAACCCTGACCTTCTGGGGCTGGGTGAAACCCAACTTCTGGGGCTGTTTGCTCCCTTGTAAAATGGGGAAGTCCCTGGGTGATACACATGGCTGCGGGCGAGCTGGGCAGTGGCCCAAGATCCATGCTTGGTATAGGGCAGATTCTCCATTATTTTTCAAGACATTTCACTTGGCACACAGCCCACCAAGTCATGCAGCTGGTCCTGGTGAGGCTGGAGACTGTCTGCTGTCTATGTTGTCCCTAAGGATCCACCTCTTGGAATTCCGAATGCTGAAGCAGACTAGGGAGAGTTAAGGCCACTTCGGGAGGATCTCACTTTAAACACACGGCATCCAAAATGACATCAGGCAAGAGAATGTATTTGTCAGAACAAAAAAGAAGTGGAGAATAGCAATTACTTCCTGGGGAATGGAATCACTTTTTACCGTATAGCCTTTAAGGAGCCCAGGCGGTACTACAGGACAGGTGTGGGGCTGCTAACCTTAAGGCTAGTGATTCAAACCCACCCGCTACCCTGTGGGATAAAAATGAGGTTGTTCGCTCCTGTAGACGCAGTCTCGAAAACCCGAAGGAGCAGCTCTACACTGACCTATAGGGTCGCTATATGTTGGAATTGAGTCGACTGCAGTGGGCATATAGCTTTTGGTAGTATTTCATTTTTATTACACACAAAGTATAACCTTTGTTCAGAGGGTAACACAATCTCTGTGAGCACCAACATGCCAATGCACTTCTCTTATCTTGGCACCGAGCCTGTTGTTTTCCAAGCAGCTGTCTTGGCCCAGTAAACATCCTAACAGGGGAGTTGTAATATACTATCTCAAAGGAGTCTGGAGACACAATGGCCCCAACTCAAGGTTGGAATTTCTGAGAGAAAGGTCAGATGACAGAAGCAGCACAATGTGCTTGGTTCCCTGTTGCTGTATCAGGGCTGCTTTGCTACAGATGCAATTTTTATACTCTAAACACAGGCATTTCTCTGTAAACACTCGAAGTTAGGATAAATTCTGGTACAGAGAAATAGCTGGCTTCTGCTTCTTGACAGGGTAGAGACCTGTAAATTGTGAACAGTGTATATTCGAGCCTCTAGCCGTCCCTTAAATTGCAATCACCTTATTTATGATGAATGCTTAGACTTTAGTTATCATCCAAAAACTAAAACCAAACCAGATACTGTGGAGTCCAACATAGCTCAGCTCTGCGGGCTCATCAAAGCAGATCAGCCAGGCCTTTCCTGCAGATCCCCTCTGGGTGGGTTCACCCCTCCAGCTGCTCAGTTAACAGATGTGTGCAGCTGTGTGCTTAACCATTCACCACCCAGAGACACTTAAGTATCCCTGGCCCTTCTGGTACATAATTCCATACAAAAAATAAAAACGTACCTTTGTAAAAGTTAGCACCCAGAAAGCACTGAAACCTGCTTTGGGTCACTGGTTTGAAAACCACCATGATCTTTTCCGACTCACCAGCTGAGCCCAATGCTTGTTCAAACTCGAAGGCCCAGACCAAGCACTGATTTAGTTGTTCACGAGGAGCATGTGAGCCTCCCCAAAGCCTGTGCTGACCCCTGGAGACAGGCATCCTAACACATGGAGCGAGTCTGAGCCCAGGTGACAAACGGTCTCTGGAACTCAGCCTGAGCAGCCTTTCTGGCAACTCTGCCCAGCTCACATAATTTTTGACACTTGCACTAACTGGTTAACCAAAGATCTGTTAAGCAACAAAAAGCTGGTCAAAGAAGAGAGAAAAGGAGAGACAAACAAGTATGTTCTTTCTAGCAACAAAATAAAACCACAGGAAAAGCAGTTTATTGACAAGAGGGTCAGCGCATTACAGACATAGCCTGTGAGGGGAACAAGGCTGAACAAGTCCACAGTCGTTGGTCCAGGTGGCAAGGCCCTGCTAGAGGTGGTTGATCAGGGGCACCCCATGAGAGGGCAGCTCCTGGTGCAGCTGCCTGAAGAGCATGGCGCAGCGGTTCCTCTCCTGGGTCTTCCCTAGGGCCTGATAGAGCCGGGCCTGGTAGTAAACAACGTCTCTGATCTGCTCTTTGCAGTCGACCTTGGTGAAGTAGCTCTTGGCTTCTGTGAGGTTCTCAATGGCCGCCTCCAGAGCTGACGTAGCAGGGGAAAGACCACACACATTTAAGGCAACACCTGATGACCAGGCTTCACGCTGGCCATCTAGTTTTGTCAAATTCGCACTTGACATTTTTCTGTCCCACTCTGGGAAAGAAAACTGACACACTTGGGTCAGATTTTTAAACAGGCCTTTAGAAATCTCCCTGCTTCCTAACCAGGAACCTTGCTCTACAGGGTTACAAGACCCCCACCCTATCTCTGTGCCTGTTTCAGGCACGCCCCCCACAGACCATTTTTAACACTGCCTAAAATTTTAATAGGTGTTCGTGAAGAATTCAGGACTTCAATACTGTCCTGAACGTAGGGTCTTTTTCCCTTCTTCTTGTTTGGTTTTCTAGAAGGGCCTTTCCAAATGAAGTATGTATGACTGCCTACCTTCTGCTTTCTTTGATGGGTCATAGGAAGCTGCGGAAGCCACCTGGCACTTGGCTACCAGGAACATGGCACGGCCTTTGTCCAGGACAGCCCCGTCGGCCAGGATGGGCTCAATGGCCATATGGAGAAGACTCAAGGCTTGTTCAGGGATTCCGAGGATGAGCTGAAAGAGAAACAGCATACATGGCCACATGGCCCACACCCGCTGCCCCTAACTGACAAGGAATCTGTTACGGCTGTTCTCCTCTGAGAGGCATCTCTGGTTGATTTTCTCGCTGACATGTGCCCCATTACAACCTGTACCACTGTCATCAAGCATGATGTGCAGCAATCTGAACAGGACGCCTACGGAGGGAAGTGGTCATTTTCACTATGGAAAGGATTCTGTCTTTACAAAAAGATTCAGCATAGATATCTTTGAGATGAGTGATTCCCAAGAGTCTAGTTTGGGAATCACTAGGGGAAGAGCAACCGCTAAGAAAATAATTCAGAGGTCTATCTAAAATAAACCAACAAACATTTGTCATCATGTCGATTACAGCTCATAGCAACCCTATAGGGCAGAGAAGAACTGCTCCCTGGGGTTTCAGAGGCTGTCAGTCTTTATGGGAGCAGAATGCTTCATCCTTCTCTCCAGTGGTTGGTTTGTGGGATCAAACTGCTGACCTTGTGCTACACCACCAGGGCTCCTTCTGCAGGTAGATAGTAGGGAGTGGGTGGGGGCAGCAAGCACAGTATATAGTAAAAGAAATGACAAGTGAATTAAAGTGGTATGCTAAAGAATGCCTGTTGAACCCAAAAGAAGTAGTAATGGAGGAAACAAAAGATAAAACCTATTGAAAACAGATGGCAAAAGCAAAATGGCAGAAATCCTTCTGCATCACCAACTTCCTTGAATATAATTGGATTAATGAAAGGCAGAGAGTAGCAGAATTAATTTAAAATATACATACCATATATACTCAAGTATAAGCCAACCTGAATATCAGTCGAGGCACCTAATTTTACCACAAAAACTGCATAAAAAAATGTGCTGAAAAACTCTGCTTATACACAAGTATATGCATTGAAAGCCCACTACGTGTCGGGTACTTTGAGGCACCACGATTGCAGTCCCTTCCTTCATGACAATTAGATCCTACTAGAGGTAGCACAGTGGGTTCATCACTGGGATGTTAACCAAAAGGTCAGTGGTTTGAACCCACCAGCTGCTCGGCAGGAGAAAGACAAGGCTGCCTGCTCTCATAAAGATTTCAAACATCAACTATAGTTTGATTTCCAAAATCTTCCCATGAATACCTGGCTCTCATTTCCATCTTCAGCCGTTGTTAAAGCAGGTCCCATTCTGGGCCAGCTAACCACTGGTGTAGTGCCAGTCCACTCCCTGAGGACAAGGTCCCCTGGCTAGGCACACAAGTCAGGAAGCAAGTGCCACCAGGCAATGTCACCCTCTCCCAAGATCACCGCTTCACAGACTTCCTGCAGAGCATGTCTGGGCTTCAGCCTTACCAAGGGGGCTCACTGTTCTACTTCTCCAAACCAAAGAGTAGTAAAACACTCTTGGCACTTAAACACCAGTTGGGGCGGGGGGTGTTGAGAGTAGAGCTGGGCTTACCTGAGCGAAAGCCAAGTTCAGCACTGTTTCGGAGGCCAAGTACTGTAGCCGGTACTCCTTGGAGAGGGCCAGAGCCTGTAAGAGCACAGGCAGCGCAATGGCAGGGGATGAGGATCGCCAGTATAGCTCGGCCACCGAGAGCAGGACGCTGGTCACCAAGAGGGAGACAAGGGTGAGATGAGGAGGGCACGGTTCACGTCACACACACACACACACACACACATACACACACGACGGGCGAGGCAGGGGTGCCCTCTCACCTGATCACCATCTCCGTGTTCTTCATCTTCTGACAGTGGACCAGCAGCTTCTGCAAGAGCCTGTGTGCCTCCGACATCTGGTTCTGAGCTTGCAGCACCATAGCTTTTCTGTAACCACAAAGCAGACCCAGGGAGAGACGTAGACCCATGGCAAGGTGTTACAACTATTGTCAATTTCAGGGCGGTGGTAATCTTACGGAGTCCCTGGATTTTGACTGAACGACACCATGTGACACTGCACGAGTGCCACATAACCTGGTCTTTCTCCTGCAGCCACTGGATGAGTATAAACCACCCACCTTTCAGTTAGCAGGAAAGTGCCTAACCACTGCCCACCAACTCAGAAACCCAAACCCTCGGCCAGTGAGCAGATACAGACTCACAGCAACCCCCTGTAGAGTTTCTGTACATCTTTGTGGGAGCTGACAACCTTGCCTTTGACTTGAACCGCCGACCTTGCGGTGAACAGCCCAACGCCTATCCCATCAGAGTTCCTTATCTCAGGGTTAGAATCTGGAATTCCTCAATGGACGGCAATCCTCCCACAGGGAAGGACTGAGCCAATATAATTTTGGTTCAAAAAACATATATACATGAATCTGTGTGCAAGTAGTGTGTGTATGGATGTGCACATGCGTGCATGCATTAAAAAAAAAAGTCCTGGAATTACAGACTGCAGAATGGTAGTGATGATTTCTGGGTGATACTGATAGTTTTCATTTTACTGATCTATTTTTCTGATTTCTGCTGTACGTCAATATGAAGAGAAAAAGTCTTCTCTACCGAAAGGAAATCAGTAACCTATGATGCCCCACTCACAGTAGTACACCAGGAAGAAGAAAGTCATCGAAAAGCCACTTCTGTCTGGGACTGAGTTGTCCCAGCTTACCTGTAAACACCCTCAATGCTATTGAGAGCCGTAATTCCAGCAACGAGTGAGTCAGCAAGGTGGTATTTGCCATCATTCATTGCTCTGTCAAACTGGATTTTCTGATCACAGAGCATCCATAACTAAGATGGAAAAAAAAAATTACTTACTATTTAAAGGTATTTTGACTTGCTGAGCAAATGTATGTAGAACTGACTCACATTCTTATTAGATTTAGAGAGGGGAAATGTTTTGTTTTGTTTCTAATTAGTTATGTGAAAAAGCATGAGAATAAAATAAGACAGAGATGTGTATCAATGCCCAGCTCCATGAATAACAACACACTGCTGTATTTGCTACAGGTAGGGTGGGGTGTCAGTGTCCTTCACAAATCCCATTCCCTCTCTTCTTTTCCAAAGCAGGCAAATAAGAGGAGTGACTGAAGCTTTAATAGCTCAAGAGCAGCTGCCCCTACGGTGCAATACTGGTCTCTCCTTGTCCAGAGGAAAAGACTTGAAAAGCCAAAGTCAGAGGAAAAGAATTAACCCAAAGGGCTGCTGGGCCACACAAACACTCGTCTCCACGATCCTGAGACCGGAAGAACTAGATGGTACCTGACTACTTCTAGCAACAGCTCTGACAAGGATCACATCCTGGACAGAATGAGAAAAAAGGTGGAACAAAACTTGAAATCATAAAAAGAGACCAAAGTTAATGATGAGACACCAAACACCCCACCCCCGAGACTATGGCCCTTAGTCATTCTTCTGGTCTGGAAATGAACTCAACCCTAGAACTCCATTTTCAGTCAAACAAGAGAAAGGTCTGTAAAGGGAATCAAAACATCAGGGAGGTGTGCATTCCTTAAAAACATCTGAAATCAAAAGGGCAGCATCTGTCCAAGGACAATGTTCAGAAGAATTGAGAAAGAAGGAAAATTGCAAACAGGAAACCCCGTTTCACTGTGGGGAATTGCAATCAATAACGTGAAACAAAATATGAAACTTTAAAAAAATAAAAGAATTGTAACTTTTTGTCCATTGTCCATCTTTAAGTTTACAGAGCAGACCATAGTTTATCATTCCACCATGTGCACACATTCTGAGTCAACTCATCCACTGCAATCCCTTCAGTGCAGCCTCTTACCCCTGGTCCTCACTGCGTTTCCTGTTTCCGTTCCTCCGTCTTTCCCAAGCCGTGTCCTTGGGTAAACGTTGCCCTCGTGATCTCCAATGGCTGATTCTCTAACATGGAGGGGAGATCAGTTCCAGACCCGAAGGGTAAGGGCCAGTCTCCACTTGTCTCTACCAACCAGTAAGTCTGGTCTCTTTCATGATTCTGAGTGCCCACTCTAAGCAGGTCCTTCTACTGTGATCAACTGGTCCTGGGTGTTGGGCACCTCTAGTTCTTCTACTCTCACAGTTGTGGACTGAGGGTTGCACGGTCTTCTTAGTCTAATTGGACTGTTTCTGTATGTCTTTCTATTTTTATCACTCTTCTTTTCCTCTAGACAGAGAGAGACCAATAGTTTCCCCTTAGATAGCTGCTCTTGAACTTTAAGGCTCTGGTCACTACTTACCAAATTAGGATACAGAACACTGTCTTTGTGAAATATGTTATGCCCATTGACCTTGGTGTCCCCAGAGATTAAGGTCCTAAACCCCCAGGCCTGGCAACTCATTCCCTCGAGGTGCTTGTGATATCTAAGTTTTCATAACGGCCCCTGTAGGTTTCAGCCCATTCATGGATATGTCTGAAACAAAGGTACACACTCTCCCTCCTACACTCATGGAGCCGCGTGTCTATCTATGGGTCTACTTGTAGATCACCATTATTGCAGGATTGTGGATACAAGTTCCTTGGCCTCTGTTGGCTTTCACTCTTACAGACCTCCCAGTGCCTTCCTCTACTGCCATTCGTTTTTCGTAATCTCCCTCTTATTGGTATTGCCTTCCCCTTAACATTTGTCTACCCTACAGGGTTGCTAAGATTTCTTAAATGAACTCAGCTCCCGCAGTCTTATACCACTCCCTACCCCTACCTCCACCACCACCCCACCCCAACTCCCTATGGGTAAAGGAGTCACAAGAAACCAAGGAGGACTTTGAAATACCTCAGCTGATAACAGTATAGCACAAATCTCCTTTGCACACAGAGGGCCAATTACCTGGGCATGCTGACTATTGGGTGGGAATCGTTCCTTCAAATGTTTTAACACTTCAGAAGCTGCAGCGAAACAACCCTAAAGTAGAAAGATGCCATTTAAAACCACTGCAAGCAGATTAAAGATGAAGAGGCTCACCCATTTGGGGGGGATAGGGGGTGACAACCTGCCAAAGACTGAGCAGAGACTATGAAACTTCAAAGGCCTGTGCTTGTTAGACTCTGATACAATTTATTTTCAAAAGAGTTTTAAATGACCTATGTAATACATGTTTACTTTGGAAAAATAACTTACAAAATACATGTTCACAACAAGGAGAGACAAATTAACTCTCACCAAAGATACAGTGTATAGCTAATGTTTTTTCTCTCTCTCTCTGGGACATTTTTCTGCATCTCCCTATGAAAAATATAAAGATCGCCAAACACACACACACACTCAATTCAAACTCATAGTGATCCTACAGGACAGAATAGAACTATTCCATAAGGCTTCTCAGGCTGCACATCTTTTTAGAAACAGACTGCCACACCTTTCTCCCTCCGGTAGAGTGGCTGATGGGTTTGAACTGACAACCTTTCTAATAGAAGCCAATGCCTAGCCCACTGCATCCCCAGGGCACCTTACAACAAATGTCTATACTCTGTTTTTAATTGCCTATAACACTGCTTATTGCATGGTTCTCCACTGTCATTTCGCCACTTCCGGCTCATAGCAACCCTATGTGGGGTTTCCGAGACTGTAAGAGAGCAGACAGCCTCATGGTTCTCCCGTGGAGCAGCTGGTGGGTTAGAACCACCGACCATGGTTACAGTTAGCAGCCTAACACGTAGCCCACATTGCCATCATGGCTCTTTGTGTTACATGGCAGGCACTCAATAAATAGCTTTGAATAAATGAATCATTCTAGTGTCAATATTGTCATCATTTTTGAGGGCCGCACAGGATTTCAATATGTAAACAGATAATGGTAGCTCCAGTAATCTTCTACTTTGGAATATTTGGGTTATTTCTATTTTAAAAAATACCACTATAAATTCTAAGTTGCATACCTCTTTGCATCCTTGTCCGATCGTTTCTTGGTATAGGACCTCAGGAGTAGAAATGTGATCCACAGGGTTTTCATCGGAAGTAGACCGTCAGTCAGTCGCCTGTGTCTGTCTGCACCTAAAGCTCCCCTAAGACCTGATCAACATCATGGCAATGTGCAAGCAAGACCATCACGTAGATGACTTGGGCTGTGAGCCAAGATGATGGCTAATTCCTACTGTCTTCTATGGAGTCCAGGAGCCCTGATGGCACTGTCAGAGTAAGCGTTGGACAGCTAACTGCAAGGTTAAGGGTTCAAACCCACCAGCTCCTCCTCAGGAAAAAGATGACTTTATCTGTTCCCATAAAGATTTCATCTCAGAAATTCTACCTAGAGTTACTATGAATCAGAATCAATTAGATGGCAGTGGGTTCTGTAGAGTCAACCAAACGTGGATTGGGGGACTGGCTCTGATAGAGATGGTTGGAGATATAGTATTTCCCTCCTGGGGGCTGTTTCTTGCTCTGTGAAATAGGAATAATAATAAAGCTGACCTTATGGGAGTACTGTAACAATTCAGTTAGAGGTAAACAAGTGGCCATCTAGCTCAGAAGCAACAAAAGTCCACGTGGAAGAAGCACACCAGCCTGTGTGATCAC